GACACCGAAGCTCCAATAAACCACTTGTTCCATTTTACAACAGAAAAAATGAAATCGAGAGAAAAATCGAGCGAGAACCTTGAGGAAGAACACATACTTCAGAAATATGCACAGACGAACAGATTCGGCCGAGAACCACGAAGAAAAAAAGCATTAAAGGTTTTATCAGGTTTTTTTTTTCTTCAATGACGCTTGAAATCGGAGAAATTTTTTTTCAAATCCCTTTTGGAATTTTTTTAGATGACTTACGAGTCTTTGTAAAAAAAAAATCTTGGGTGGAAAACTTCATAACGATAGCTTTTCAGACATCTTACTGGTTTTTAAAAATTATCTTTCATTGTTATCATAAAATGTAATTGCAGCATTTTTTTACTCTTGAATTCGAATAAACATTGGACAATTTTTTTGGTTCACTTACAGGGTCTACGAGGACTAAGAAATACAATTTTCAATTCATTTGAAGAGTTTTCCCAAGATTCTCTAGCGTCGATCAATCATCAGCGTCACCTTCATTTGAATCAATTATTTTCCATTGACTGTTTTTCTTGAACATGCTGGATAGCAACAAAAAAAATTTTTCCAGTTTAGAGCCATGGAAATCGTTTTACCAAAATAAATTTTTCGAGATTAAACGCGACCTTCCAGCATTTTCAACAATTTTGCAGAGCATTTTTAAAAATAAATTCTGATAATATATTTTCCAGAAATATTCATCCGAACAGCTTTGCTCTTTTAAATGTAATTTACTTTCGCAAGAAGCCACAGGAATCAAAAAATAATTCGAGTACTCATCTAAAATATAAGAAAAATAATTTTTAAAAGAAATATTTCTTATCTGGTATTCTAGGGTTTTCGGGGCAGGCAGAGCTTCTGAAAAAATGCAAATATAGTCTGAGGAGCACAATGAGGAAAACTAACTGATCCACGCAATGAATATTCACGTCTAAAAGAGCGAACACTACACTAACCGTAATCTCGTCAAGTTTTTATCTGCACTCAGATAAAAACCCAAGCGCGTTTCACACATTTCCCATTCCGTTGAATACGAATGCTAATCTCATGGTACCGTATTATAGTCGTTCACAGAACGGAAAACCCAGATTTACCGGAAACGTCACACGGAATATTATTGGGCCGTATTTTTTTTTTCTCACGTTCTTATCATTCATAAAAAAAATTGAAAACGCTATCGAGGCCGCTTGAAATGGGAAAACATGAATAATTTCAAATTATTATTGAATCCAACGAAGAGAAGGAACAAACACGCGATAATCACGACACCGCACTTCAGATGTACTTTAGAAATGAAAATTTGCGAAGGGCTTTTATCCTGAAATCGCATTCAACAAATTCTCATCGCAAGAAAAGACAAGAAAAGTCTTACTCATTTAAGAATGTTTTGGTACAGATTTCAATTTACAGTAATGACCAATGGAGTAAAGATACCAAAAGAAATTATTCATCTCGCCTTTGATAAGATTGAAGAAGCTTCAGAGGAAAATGTTTTGAAGACGGGAAAATGCACATTTTCATCAATGATCCTCCATATGCCACCTCGTATTTTTTCTACAACGTTTCCACGCCCACTTCACGGATTACAAACAATCTTCGTCAACAGCAAATGCATTAACGAATATCACTTCTAGCAAGAAATTCCAGATCACATCCCGCTTCATAGGAAAATCACCGATTAGAAAATTCCATTCCAAAAAGGTTTAAGAACATTACATATCTTGGGGATATCTTGCCAGTAACTGAAAGGCCATCTTGGAAATCTTGAAAAAAAAAACTGACCTCATGCGCACGAAATCCTCCCGGCGCACGAAACACGATTCGCGAAGTCACGCATTTTTGTTTTTCCGGTAGCCAACATTTATAGTTGATGAAAAGAAATACTGTACTGTAGGTACATTTCCCCGACTAAAAAAATGACAACATATTTTTTAGGAGATTCGCAGCACTCTCGAGTAACGCGTCTATAATCACGGGTTTCCCGGAGTTTTCTTCGTCGGACAGTTAGATAAACAACGGAAAGTTTCAAGCACCCTTCTTAGGAAAAATCACTGAGAAAATAATTTGCATTCAAAATTTTGAAAATTTTTCCTTCCTAGCTGTGAGGTTTCCGTAATTGAGAAGCACCCGGAAGGTCTTCAAACTACAATAATGTACGTCATTTCCTCGATCAAATCCTTCTGTCGCACGAAACAAGGTTCAGGCATGTGCGGTATTTTTCATTTCCTTTCGGACGGGATTGTTTCAATTTAATTTATAAAATCCAACACTTAGTCGCTGTAAGTTTCCCCTATTGCAAACCAACTAATACGCGCAAGTTTCAAGAAAGACCTCATTAACTGGCAAAACGCAGAAGAGGAACTGAAGTGTACATGTATACGAAATCCACTGTACGCAAATCACACTTGGTCACAGCCACCATCAGAAACACTGTTTTAAAACTTCCAATCACTCTAATACACACACGAACGAAAAAGCGGGAAACGTGACGAAGATAAACCACGCAGAATTCCCACGGCGTTTTGGACGTATATCCCGAAGTAGACTTCGCGACTTCACTTCACTTTTCCGAACTACAGTATAACACGTAGCATATGGTTGATGCGCGTTGTGCTCCACTTTTCAAATGCCGCTCCGAGTTTCGGGTGCGGAACATTTTGAACTTCGGGGAGTCTCACGTAAATTTCCTCAATTTTTTGGAAAAGCAAAAAATTATTTGAATCTGTGGGGCGTATCAATTCAACAGGTGATCCGCAATGACTTATACGCGGCTCCTCAAAAACTTCACAGGGTGGCAGCAAATTCTCCAAAATAATTTTCATAAGGGCCAAGTCTTAGTTCAAGTCTGTGATCTATGAAGGATTTCACTTTGGATCTTAGCCATACGTACCATGTTCAATGCGGATAAATTAGGGCTCCCATTATCCGTGCCAGAATGATCAATTATTTCGAGGAAAGTAGCGGATTTAAAAGGCCTCATTCCTGTTCGGCAAGATAATTTGGAAACATCGATATCTAACTTTTTGTTCTCAAAAAATCTAACGAATGCTGGTGAAGGGTGATATCCTTGAATTAAATTTCTCCTGATATTAATGAACTCACCTGAATACTGACTCCACTGTCATTTCCTTTCAAAGTAATTCGTTCCAAAATGTAAATCGGGGAGGGAACGTTTTTAGACCATATTTTTATCAATCGCACGCTTTTCTAAATATTTCTTAGAGTACTTAGATCACACACAAAAACAAAAACAAAATGTATGCATCGCAGAATAACCTGAAAAACGTTTGGCTCTAAGATTCAGCTTGATAAATGCAACACGTGGGTTACTAATAGCCATTCCTCATTTTCATTCTATTTCGTTATAATGCTTGAATGCATTTAATTCACGCAAGCATTATTCTAACATTATCCACTCACTTGCCACGAGCATATTTTTAGCAAAAAATGCATCAAGAAAGCTATTCGACGTCAGCGTGCACGAATATACAATCCACTGTGGTTCAGTATAGAACACACATTTGAATAGCATTAGCTAAGTTTCAATTCCCACAAAATAGGATGAATAAACACGCCAAAAACTCTCTATGAAGTGCCTATGAATGTCTCAATCAAGAAGATGGATTGAGCATCATTCAAGTAAACAATTTCGTCACAGAACGGTATACTATACAGTATAGTACAGGTTCTGAATTCACAACAGTTCAAGCTGTGTTCAAAAAATGAGGTCACGACACCGAAATGAAGCAGAAGTTTGCAGCATTACTTCGTACGTGGCTGAAGTTGAAATAATTCGGATCACACTTCACAAAGTTTTGTACTCCTTTCCGCGGAAAAGAACTCCCAATTTCACAAAAGTGACACGGAAAAATAAAGTTCTAGTTCCCGAATGATAAAATGATATTCGAACATACAGGCCAATTCCGCCACATGTCACACAACCATTAGATCCAGTATGTGTGGGACTCTAGTTGATCAAGTGCATTCGCCAAGGTAATAAATTAAAAGTCGAATCACCACAAAGCCATATCATGGGAATCAGTAACAAAGCTGAGCTAGAAATAATAGTTCATTATTGTACAGTACTGATATTTACACGACATTGTGGCTATTGGGCAGGGATCTGAAAAATTAATTCTTCGCTAGCAGTAGTTTTTCTACCAAGATGCATTGCACGCGATTCTTAGCTACAACATGGAAAATTGTAAGAAATTACTGTATTTTTAATATCAATATTTATTGTTACAACTCTTACAAGATTTCACTGTACCAAAAAATTAGTGATGGGAGTCTTCTGCAATGCTGTGAAGCAAAATTTGTGGTGATACGACTTCATTTTATTGCCTGGACAAATGCACTTGATCAACAAGAGTTCCATTCATACTGGATCTCATGTTTGTGTGACATGTGGCGGAATTGGCCTGTATTTTCGAATATAATTTGATAATTCTATAAAATGTAATTTCAATTTCCTGTGTCACTTTTGTCGCGATCTGACGATTTTGCCATTCCTCCATGACAAAATATATTAATTCACATGATCAACAATACTTTACGTCCAAAACGCTTGATCTGTGTTTGCGCGAATAATCAAACACAGGAGGATACAGGGACTCGAACTAAATTTTATCCAAGCCACTTTTTTCCTTGAATAAACCGAAATGTGAGCACTGTCTATCACGAATTAGAGCTCTTATACACTGGGCATATGTTTGTCATCCGTGAACGTATCTGCTGTTGCCAGTAATTGGTATTAACTAGATGTTTCATACTCCCAAGTTCTAACAATTTACCTTAGCTCCACCACATTGAAGAGGGAAGATAAAATGCAATTCCCAACCTGTGAAGCCAAGCGGTATGTTCAGCAAAACGCTTCAGATAGCATCACTGGCGCGAATGATCGGATCAGTCAGAAGTCACCTGGAAAAAAGCAAGCGACACATCAGACTTCGCGCGTGTGATTCTTTCAATGCATGAAAAAAATATACTTTCAATCGAACCAAGTTTTCATTTCTCCGGTTATAAAAAAGTAAAGAATGGTTTAGAATTAATAAGGATCACTCCATAAATCATAAAATCACGAGTCCTTCAGAAGACATTTCCGCATCCCTTTCGCGATCTGACGATCCACTTCAAGAATATCTTCAGTCCCAAAAGTAAAATTTTCGATGGTGAAACGTATTTTAGACGAGGCTTCACAGGCATCCCACGCTTCTCTCAAATCAGACGATCTTTCCTTCAACCTGGAAATTAAAATGGAAACATTCAGGGCTCGAATTCATTGAAAAATTTGCAAGACCGCACAACAAAGACGACACACAATTGTCAATATCACTCTTCACCCTTTTAACTTTTCTAGATCCCCGAAAGATGTCGCCTAAACCATTAACCTGATCAGAAATTTCATCAACTGAACATGACCAAAAATGAAACTACAGTACAGTATTCCTACTGCGACCAAAAAAACTATAAGTAACATAATCTTACTTGAACCTAAATATTGTTAGATGAACCAGACAAAGAGAATAGCATTCAATGTCATTGTTGAACAAAATACTGTAAAAATAATTGAAATTGTTATGCATTCACACAGATTCATGAAAATTTTCTCCGATTTCATTTTCAAAAAATTCAACAGCGTTTTAGATAACTAGCACATGGAATTATCCTAAGGGCAACCAGTCAGACGAATAAAACCAAAATTCTTCCTCATTTTGGGAATAAGTGAGAGCATAATATTCGAATTACACTCAGAAGTTACGTGTACAAACGAAAAATCAACTTCCAAATAAGATTTTCTGGGGATTCATGATAACCACATTCAAACTGTAGCTGCAAGGTTAATTCCATTTCCAAAATAATTGAAGCGAGCGTCTTCCGGTATTTTTGATTTTCAGGATATTGTACTGTACTGTACAATAATTTTTAGCACATTGAGCAATTCACTGCATCACAGATATCTGGGATTCGCTACAGAATTTTTGTCTTCGACTTGACGCATTGAAAATACGCCTATTTCACCCTAAATCCGATATTACCAAACAGGAAAAATAAACTGAGAACAAGTCTAAATATCTGACTCACAAGCGCATCAAAATCAATGCCACGTATTCCCACTGCCTCGCTTGAAGACATACGTTTGCACTGGTAAGGTTCAGGGTTTGCGCCAGTGCAGAAAGTTCGGGCACAACGGCGATCCAAGAGATCTTCAGGTTCCCGCAAAAATCCACCATTCCATTCTTGGCTACCTTGTCGCAAAATATCTGACGCCTCGCAAAAGAAGGGTTCTTCTCCGGAAGTACGGGAACCATCACAGGTACAGTATCAGAATCAAGCGTGTTCTCTAAATTGCAAGGATCAAGGTCGCATTCGTAGAGATTCCCACTGTAGAAAGCTCTGATTTTTGCGAGGGCTTCTGGAGTCACCGAAGGCGCTTCAGGGTGATTTTCTAATTTTTTCTCCAATGATAGTTGGTTGAAACTGATTATAGTAACTTCGTCTTCCAACTGTCGCAATTCTACCTCGTTCCGACATGTTTTCCGAAGGAATTCGAAAAATCGGTCTCGTCCTCCGAAAAGATGCGCCCCCGAGGCAATTGTGAACCATTCGGAAAATGCTTTCCAAACTTCATCCATCCATTCACGAGGGTTTTCCACGTCTTCGTCGTCATCACTGTCTACGTAATTCATCATTTCTTTCATTCGCACGGAATTACACGCAGACATGAGTCGATTTTTAGCAGTTCTTTTTACAGTCGTCATTGGTTTCTCGGGTTCCATTTCCAAATCATCCACGGTTACGTTGAATTTCTCAGCTAGCCGTGGAACTGCGTTCTTGTCTCTAAATTCATCGTATATACGAAGTTTGTATGGCTTCAATCGTCCTTCGAAATCATTTTCATCGCGAAGCCAAACTGGACTTGTATCGAGTTGCTGTTTGATGAATTCCGCGGATCGATAGCAATGACTTGAGCAGTATTTCTGAAAAGAAAAAGGAAGAAAACTATTTAAAGAATTCATTTCCACAACGAAATGATGTATTTGCAATCGAAAGACGTACAGTATTCATGGTTTAAAAGAAGGGTATGTGCTCATGCAAGCTCGGGCCGATTGATGAGATCAACTTGATTTGCAAATGCAATCAAATTAATTTTGGATTAAATTCCCATCCACTTCATACCTTCATAGAAAAAAAAAGATTTCTCAATCTTGACAGCTGTCACGACAGGTGCTATCAACGTATCTGTTGAGAGCTTACTATTTATGAAATAATCATAGTCAAGATATGCATCCATATCTTGAGACATAGTCCGTACATTGGGGCCCCACTGCACTGTAATCGTTCTACAATGAAAAAAGGAATACCGTCAATTTTATGGACAACACACCAAGATACTAACTGTTCGAACTTTTAATAAATGGATAATTAACTTGACTATGGAGGAAAACTCCGCAATTTAAAAACAAATACAGTAATTTTCTGTGTTCTACAGCTAACATGTGTAAACTGCAGGAAAATAATACTGTACAGTGACATTTCCTTCAGTACAGCTGGATTCATCATTTTCGTTTGATAAGTCTAGCCATAATTACAGGGATATTTGAGTAGTATGCGTTTCAAACTAACAATGTCAGGCCCAACCTTGTCACAGAGGATTAATTTAGTCAAGATTTAAACTTGTCAGGGAATATCATTGTCAGGAAGAACCTTGCCTTGAAGAATTTCATTTTTCTGATAAACTTGAATAAAATTGTCAGCCAAAAATGGACTACTTGTAATTCGAGTATGGAATAATCTTGTCCTTCCTTGTACAAGCAGGGACTTAGACTCTTAGAGCACAGTTGAAAAAAAGTACACGTGACATGAGTGGAGGTTCAGTTCTCCACTCATGTCATAGGGTGCCAAAAATTTGTCAGGAAAGATTTAAAAAAATTGAAATTTTGAACTATTTATCTCAACTATTCATTGAACTATTGTATTGACTTATCCTAAAACTGAACTCCAGTATTTATCCTAAAATTCCTGTCCCAGGAATATATTCCATAAATCAAGTATTGTAAGAAAAGCAGGGAACAATTTCATTGAGGAGATTGACCAGATAATTCCATTTTTCTTGCAACAAAAATATTCCAGTTCTGGCAGACAACATTGTTCCAGTTTAAAATAAACAAAATTTTTCCATTATTGATGTACTGTACAAGATTTATCCTTCTATTTTCAAACAATAATTTTTTGACAACTTTAAAGATTTTTTAGCGGGACGATGTTGGAACAATTGTGCAGAGAGAGATTTTAAACAAGTAAATTCCAGAAGAGGCTTGACAAGAATAATCCGGTTTTGATATTACATTATTCCAACACCTCACGAGAAGCAGCCGAAAATGGAAATATACGAGTAAACACTACCGTCGGAGGATATTACCGAACGCATCAATTGCGACACCATTCACGAGGTTTACCTCGAGGCAGAAATTTAAAAAAGCACATTTGCTTCTTAAAAACTAGTGAAATATTGAAGATATTACACATACAGTACTTGGAATCCATCAAGAAACGTCATCACGAACATTACATAACGTACTCACCTTTCGTTCCTTGATATTCAAGATGGCTCGCAGCCGACCGGATATTTTATAATCCTGTTTCGGAATACTTCCCAAGCACTTGTGACATGGAGGGTAACCACAAAGATTCTCAACGTATGCCCGTTCTTCTGTGATATCCTCGAAGTGATTTTGGGCAATATGTCGAACCTACGCAGAAAAAATGTTCGAATCTCGAAAATAATTTCAATCGCGAGTTCGAATACCTCGGAGAGCATAAAATCCTCGCTGATACCTGGCTTGAGAAGATTTTCCACCACTTGATGAGCACGCTTTTCCCGCTCCTCACATCGCAGCAAGTGTTTCTTCAGTGCTTCGACGCTGAAATCATGGAGTTTTTGATTAATTTCGTAACTTCTCGTTATGTAATGTCACAGCAAAAAACTCACCGTTCGTACGGCTTCGTCGGCTGTTTCGACTTTTGATCACGCTTCCTTGACACATTACTCTGAGACCAAGAATCGCCATATTTCTCCATCAAATCGTCGAGAATATCCATTTTCTCTAAGGGAAAAATAACATTTCAATCACTCCGAGGACTGAGAAGTGCAGGGAACAAATAGGTTATATACTGTCAAAACGAATATCCCTTTTAATATATCCAATTTTATCGCAACGAATTCATGACTCCCACATAAAAACCCGGTTCACTCCGCAGTCATCGAACACCCGGAAACGTTCAGCATTCAATCAACCAAGCAGAAGGTAAACATGGGAATCGTCGTACAAAAATATATACCGGGAAGAGGAACATGGAACGAAAGACGGCATAACCTTCCGAAAACACGAGGAGTGTGATGCTCGTCAGCCAAGAGCGCGGAAAAATAAAGCTGATCTTTTGCAACTCCTGGTTCAGAACTGCTATGATTAAAAAATAATGACGCGAAAAGATTTCACTTTATATCAAAACCCTAATTCAGCCATCATGATCAGGACCGCTTCAAGTTATTGGCAATCCACTCCAGTCCTTGGTAAAGCCCTTCTCCAGTGAGAGCACAGCACGACTGGATTTGCCATCGATGCGTTTTAATTGAGGTCAAATTCAGGTGCCTCGAAATTTCAGCAGCCGACATCGAACCCTTAACATCTTGTTTGTTGGCGAATATTAGAACACCCGACTTCTTCAATTCATCTTGGGCAAGCATGTTGTATAGTTCTGAACGCGCCACGGAGACACGTTCCCGATCTGTGGAGTCGACGACGAGTATGACGAATTCAGTATTCGTGTAGTACGTGTTCCAAGATGCACGCAGAGACTCCTGTCCTCCGAGATCCCACATGAGAAAGTGAATGTTTTTCCATATTACTTCTTCCACATTTGAGCCTATCGTGGGCGACGTGTGGACAACTTCATTCAGCAGAAACTGATATAGAATTGTAGTTTTCCCGGCATTGTCTAGTCCAACGATTAAAATCTTATGCTCTTCGTCACGGAAAAGGCTCCACAATTTGGCGAACAGAATTCCCATTTCACTATCACACGCACACACGTCAAAAGAGTTCTTTGCGTCAGGATATCATCCCTAGCCACAATCCTGAAGAAAATTTTTCAGATTGACAACCGGAACGAAGAAAAAGTCTACATACATCAGAACTCATCGAATAAAACCATCAAGAAGACCGAAGCATTCAAATGCGCGAAAGCCAAAGACACCTCATTAATCACGAGGATTACTGAACAGCGAATTTTCCACATGGCCTGTGTGAAACATGCATGATGCATGTAAATTCCATCCAGGAACCACTGCGGCGGGCGCCACACGTAACCAAAACAACAGAGATTTTGGTTGTCAACACAGAGCTCATATAGCTACTCGGCACTACAGTATAACATAACTGTACACCTGTATACGTACCTATCATTCCCACCTTGAGTACAAAAACCTCCAATGCGATAAAACTGCACAGTATTTCACTTAACTACCAACAAATGAGTTCACGCTCGTCAATTTCCATAACTTCCGAAGCTAATCCAGCAATACGGATTAATTATTTACAGTATAGAAATTCCGTACGAAGTGCAGGTATACAATACTGTTGGAAGAAAGAAGTGCTGCCTGCATGCATTCACACTAAAGTGTGCGGTTTTTTATGTACAGCGGAGTATTTTAAGATGGAAACTCAGTTCCGCCGCTTCTCCCAAGCTACTAAAAGGAGTAATGAACTTTTAATCCATCAACGTGAGAAAATGCCTAGTTGTCTTTTTTTTAATGACGCGATTTATTAAGGCAAAATGTGCTTGCCTGATGCAAATACTGTGCTGTAGTTCAGTTAAAAATTTGTAGGAGAGTTTTGTGTTCTGGTAGCACACCTTTAATCTTCATCTGGATTGCGATTCTTTTAGTTTTTGTTTTAAGTATGAGGCAAGATATGTTCCGTACATACAATTTTCATGGCAATAAATAGGATCCCATGATTCTCCAAACCTTGAACATTGACACCAACTTTGTGCTCGTGATCTTTTTCCAGCTTGAGTAAATTTGTGAGGAAATAAACAATTATTCTCGGGCGAAATACATAATTTTGGCAACATTCCAAGTCTTAATTATTGACAATTCAAGATCTTATCCCAACTTTCCATTCATGAGAAAACCTGCACGAAGAAGCCGTTCCACTTCATCAGCTCTACACAATTTCCCTGGGATTTTTGAGACAACCTAGCAATCCGAAGGCCTAAAACCATCGGGGTTTAAAAAAACTTTTGAACTGCGATGCAGTATTCATAATAATAAACTCATAGAAAACAGCGTTTTCGGTAATACATAATGCCACAAAAAAGTAAGTCCATTTCTGCCGGATTATACATATCACAACTCACAGCGTTACGCGTGTAAAAAATAAATCGGAATCGCCAGGAAACTTTCCCAGAATATTCAGGGTCACAGCTAAAGGCAACCATGCGGTAATCATCAGCGCAATGAAGCCAGGGTCAGCATTCATTTGAGACAGTAATCAGCCCAACAAGACGAAGATCCTGTGAGGATCAGTGTGAAAAGAATTGCTCGAAAGTCCTGCGAGTTGCCAAATATACCGTTTTCCTTGCATCAATCATTTCTGAGGAGATGTTGAAAGTCAACGATTTCGTTATAAAAAAAACTGCAACAACGATTACTATTATTAAACGGCATTTCGATAACGAAAAAATATTGACTTTTGCGTCGAAGAAGGTGCGACATTTGAATGAGAAGAGAAAATTTGACCTGATCAACAAAACCTGGAACAAATAAATTTGGGTAAAGTAATGAGGACAATTTTCGGGATTTCAAAACTAGGCCGCCTTAGTCGATGAGATAAACAGGGGATACCAATAAGCAATTTAAAAAATCATTACTGTTTGCCAAAGAAGAATCGACCATACCAATTTGAGGTACAGTATCCTAAAACCGTATTACCTCCTCAAGTATAGTACTGCATGCTGGAGTGTTGCGGTAGTTATAATCACTACGAGTGAATTAATCATAATGAAACTTGCCATAATATTGCCAAAACTTAATTCTCCCATTATCGTTTACTATGGCAAATATAGAAATACTGTATTGTTACCAGGTATCCTCCATTTCCTATACAGTACTGCATTCGGTAAAAAAGTTTTTTGAGTGACATCTCCGCGCGAACAAGTTTTTGAGTTTCAACATTTTATTAATAGGTATCAGTCCAAGCGGAGCCTTATAATGCAGAATCTTCGAAGCAAGAAAAAAATTCAAGAATCAGAATTAAAACTTCTTTGCAACTTTGCAAGTCTTTAAAGATGCTTGGATCACCAAAGTTCCTTCTTGTTTTTCATTTAAATCCGCTGATAAGAACACATTCTGGTATGTGAAAAATAAAACGGCACACAAAATGTATCCCACTGGTTTTCAAGCACCTTCGAGTAAAGATGCCTTTTTTTTTGTTGAGTTGCAAGACTTTCGAGAATTCCTTCGTTCCTTTCCTAAGGCTTCCTGTGGGAGGTTATTTCTCTGAACATTCCAACGGGAAAGCTCAAATGCAAGGGTTTCGTTCATTGCGGAGCAGTCAAGCCAAAGCCGGGGGATTTGGCATCCACGTTCCGACACAAACTGCACACGTCCCGCGCCGAACCCTGCAACTGACCCAGACACCCAGCGTGGAAACTGTGTCGACAAAAGAAAACGAGCACCGAGGCGTCGGAAACACGGCCAACTAATCTCCGCTGGCACGCGTGACAGACTTGATCCCTACGCACAGCCACAGCCCGGTTTTGCATGGAAACAAGTCGGTTTTGGAGAGAGAAACAGTCCGAAACGAGGATGCACTGGAATCCTTCTTGGAGGGAGACCTGGAGATTGTAGTCCCTCAAGATCTTGACCAGTGCATCTCTCATGCCGGGGATCTCCAGGCCGTTTTTGATCTTTCTGATCAAGATCAATGGGTCCACATGGGTTCCAATGTTCAGCAACAACTGAGCAATGAATTCTTGAGAGAATGAGGAAGATAGAAAATATATCGCGGTCAGAACAAGAATGGAAATTCTCGAAAAAAATCCAGCCGAATGGAAATTTACTTTAATTCACGGAGGTAACACACGCATGCATTACTTTACAATACTAGAATACACTGTACAGCACTAGAATACAGTATTATGCTTCTGGACAAACACGAATTATTTCTTCTTCCTCAAGGCTTTTCGGAACGCAGGAGATTTACTCCGTCCTCTCCAAATCTTGAATGCAAAAAGAGAGAATTCTACATTGCAGATGAATGATTAGCGCAAACAGCGAAGACACTTCGTACAATGAAATATAGATTAGAATGCCTGCAAAAGTCAGATAAATTTTTAAAGTTTTGAAGATACAGTATACAGAGCTACATTACAATATGTTTTAAACAGAAAATGCGAACTACTGTACAGTGCATGTAAAACACATGTAGATAGCATTGCATTTTTGAACCTAGCATTAGCTCAATACTTGGTCTTATTTTTGTGTGAACCAGACATCGACGCAACTTACTCGGTTTGTCTAAGGAATGTTGGATGAGATCATGCCACAGATCGCGATCGTCGTGTTCTTTGCAGTATTCGATCGCTTTATTCACGTCTTCGAGATTCTCCGTTATCAATTTCAATGCTTGTCGTGTATTGCCCATCCGCGCTGAAAAAAAGAACGATAAATTACAGGGAAATTTTATAATGGAATAACAAAATGGGGTCATTCCCAGAGCAGGTGGACCTGACAACGAAATTCTATGAACCAGAAAAAATTCGTCGAGAAGAATGCGAATAAAAAGGGGAAGAGAACCACATGGTACCAAAAAATCCTTATACAGAGAAAATCGTTATTGACAAGATCGTTGTAGAGAGAGTCTACTAGTATCATCCAATCTCGGATAATTAAAACATTGAAATGGTGCCCGAGTATCTTTCATGACCCTGCGCTTCTGATAATTGACCGGATGAAAATTGCTCGTCTACTCAACAAACGCACATTGATGTAGAAAATGTGGCTGCAAGTATAATCTTTCATGTGAAAAAAAATATTGTCTTACAGTAGCTTGATTACGTTGGGAAACATTTTTCCCTCTTCCGAGTATTCATGCTGCTAGTTTTACTCAAGCTAACCCTCCTTCATTCGATAAATCATTCAGGAATTTACATTGGATCACCCATTCCATGTAAATTCATGAATGAGGGTAATACTAAACTTCGATCAAAACTTACTGAGTAGATAGACCATTTCGGGAAAGAGGTTTCCCTTCCGGCAAATACCAAATGCATCTTGAAGGGAGTAAACGGAGGACGACTGCAGAAAAGGCAGAAGTTTTTCCCTGTCATGCAAGGAGTACAATTCCACCAGTTTCCCGTGATAATCCCTCTTCATGGCCTTCGCATCTTTCTTGTATAAAGCATCCAAATACTAGAGAAGCGATGAAAAGAAAGCGAATGTTTTCAGAAATGGAATACACAACGAACAACTGAAATTGATCATTATATCATCATAAAAATATAATTGCAACACTTTACAATTTCGATCATTCGTGCAGTCCATTAACCGAGCTCAAAATCTAAACACAGCGACACGAGTAATCGCATTTTTTTTAACCTGGTTTCCCTCTAATGATCAGAGCGAATTAATTTTGAGATTTTCGTAAATGCCGGTAATAATCCTAGATCATTGTTTATTTTTAATTAGTGAGATGATAGACTTCATCCGAATATCCGAACGAAGGCGTCCGATAATTAAGTCGAATTAAATGAACTATCTCTTCCAATAATTTTTTTTAATCAAGTTAATTATTCTATCATAATTTATGACGATTCTTTCAAGGACAGAATGAAAATCACAAACCTTGTAAGAAAATACCGAGTGATTATTCAATTTCACTACAACGACGTCCGGGGGCAATTTGTCAATGTGGTCCAGAAATAGTTGCACAGCCCGCTCAGCATCAAGTTCCATGAGCCCTGGAACTAGGTCCTTTATTGAATCCACCAGCTCGTATTTGTCTATCAATGCGAAGACGTCTTTGTGCTTCAATCTGCAGAAAAATGATGATCCTATACATTACAATCCACACATTAGATCATCCCTTTTAACCACTTCTCGGTTTTAAAAAGGGGAAAAAGGTTCTCCAAAAAATTAAATTACTTTCTTCTCAAACTTTGTAAGAAAGACAATAACTGTGCAGAAAACACCCAGGCAGTACCTGTCTATTTGGTACGAACTTGAGTCCAAAAGGCAAAAAAAGCACACATATTTTTTATGTTGAGCACAATAGATGGAAAAATCACTAAAAAAAGCACAAGATTAGACAGTTCTTGATAATGAATTAGAATACAATACATTTAAGCATACCATATTTACTCAAGTACCAAACACCCTCAAGTAAGACACGCACCCCATTTTAGTGATTCTAAAACTACAGTATTTAAAAAATACGAACATCTACATTAGAATGTATACTTGAATTGCACCTGCATTCAACTAATTTTCAATTGTTTCCATTAAAAAAGTGGAACAATGGATGGATCAATGGAATGACTTGGCCCAAATTTTTCCATCAGAATCTAGAAATGCATAATGCACATTTAAACTTTTCATACCCAGCTGTGAAACGTACCCCTCTTTTTCCTCTTGAATTTGAGAAAGATGTGCACACAGTACCAACGTGAATACTGTACAGTAAAAAGATAAAGTCTATCTTGAATTTTTTCCATGACAGCAGCTCAATTTCTCCAAGAGATACCAAAATTTTAACAGTTACAGCTGAACTTCAATACAATGTTTCGAACTTCCGTCAGTTTCATTTTTTTCAACTCCCTTTCTGGATTCCCCCAGAGATACAGTAATTCATAAAAAACCTCCGTACTCGAATTTTGTTGCTGGTATTTTTTTGAGAATACTGTATTGGCAAAGAGTCCATACTTGCATCTTCAAACATTTCCCAGATGTTGGGACAGATTTTCTGGGTCAAAACTGAAGTGTACAAATGTCGATTCCTCTACATACAGACGCGTATGAATTTAATTTCTATCGCATTAGCTCAATTTGTTCAGGAGATATGAAAATTCATTAAATTAATTTTTGGGAATGTTGGCGAAGTGTCGTGTCTTGAGGCATTTAATAGATGTCAGAATATATCTTTCATAAAAAATAAAGTATCCATCAGTCGAATCCTCTGCTCATATAGAGGCGTCCACATGTCTAAGCCCTCCACTGCACTACTCATCAGTGTTACCCAACCTTTTCCATAAATTTCCACATTTTTCGAGGACCTGCAAATTTTCATTAAAATTTTCTGCAGACCAGCAAAGTTTCATAAAATTTTTGCAGACTCAAAAAAGTGTTGTTCCAATGACTTCAGGGCAGGTTTTAAAAGAAGTAAGCTTTTTTGCAAAAATCAAGTTAAAGCAACTCTAGTGGACTGTCTTCAAAAAATTAGAGAGCTGGGCTTCAAGAAAAATTCCTCAGAATGGAAAATTAAAATAAATAATTTCAGCACGTGGAAATTTGTCCGAAGTATCATCAAGAGAAAAGCCAACGTTTATTGTTCAACAGATAGTTTTAACAGTTATTGTCTTTTCAAAATTTCAGATATAGATAACAAACTTCATTGCTACTTTTGATACGTTTACTATGTTGAAGAAAATTGTCGGGGAACATTATTCCAAAATCTTCGCCAACTGACTTGAGATAAATATCCAGCGCTTTCCGGAACTGCTGCGATAGCGAGTAAAGCCTCGCCAGTGCCTGAAGCAGAACTTGCTGATCCGGTTGTGCAAGCAAGCAGTCCAGGACAGCGTTGATGACCGCGGTCATGTTGTACAAGTGACTCGGCCACTCGAGCAACACTCCGAGAAAACCTTGAGTGTCCGTCCTCAAGAAATCATACAGCACCATTTCATAAATAATCGGGTCCAGCTGGAACTCTTCGCCCTTGATACCAGGACAGAGTGAGAGAGAGAAAGAAAAAAAGGTAAGCATTTCAAATGAGGTGATGCCATCAAACGACTCTAAGCTAGGCGCATTCGATTCGAGGGTCGACTCCGTGATTTGAATGGTTCCGAAACATTTCAGTGCGTTAAACCACGCGTAAAAAAAAAAGTGACTCATCTTAGCTATCAAATTTCAACGAAGTATTAAACACAGGTTAAATACGAATATAACGTCACGTTTCCAAATATCCTCTACAGTAATCGCATTTAACAGTACCAGAAATTTTTTTGCGTTCACGGGTCAAATATTCAACCGGGTTCAAGAAGTTTATAATTTTTTAAAATAAAGCTGGACGGGGGTCTGTGAAGTGTATGTGTGACTCATAATAAAAAAAAGTAACAAAAAGTCAAACATTCACTTCCTCGTGCGATAAGATAAAACGTCGAAAACCCCGGCTTCTCTTGAATCAGTGCAACTGTTCGCTTGTTGTTTTAAGTTGTGGTGTGAAAGACAAAAATTAAAAAAATTCAGTCTCGCGATGATGAATGAAACTGAGCCCCTATTTTACATTTCCGTGGATTCGAATTTTTGGATAATAATTTTTGTAGAATTGAATGATCTTCCAGTGTTCGCAATTCTCAGACTTACATTGTGATATTTTCCGTACGACTTGCTTTCGCGTACAATGAACCACAAACACAAAAATGTTGATGACAAAATCAAGGTACTGATATCAAGTTCGCCCAAAAATATTACCACTACATAAAATCAGTCAAACACAATCTTGAGACTTTTCTTTCGAAAGACACACTAATATTACTGATTTAATTTTAACGAAGGATTATCTGAAACATAAATTCAGCACAAGAGCTATTGATTTCTCTATGCCTTCGCGATAAGAGCGAAGTGAAGCGTCAGCAAAAATGTAGCTTCTCAACATTCCTCGCAATTTTCGGATTTGGAAATCCGACGAAAATGCTTTATCCACATCTAGGGCGTAGATTACTCGTAACCCAAAACTGCGCCACAGTCGATAATAATCGGACGTATTTTTAGGGAAACAAGATACGTCGGTGAAATGGGGATAAAATAACTGATTCGCGTATCTTTGAATGTGTTGATTATTTTGGAAGAGAATATTAATTTCATTCATTGCCTCACGTGCTCCAGTGAAATCGACGACGCAAAGCTGAGGCTGTCATGAGAATTCTCGGAAATTTTCATTGAAAGTAGGACATTCGGAGGACTGGTGTTCATTCGAAAATTATTCACTACTCTACAGTACATTCTTTTTTGCAGGTTAAAACAACAAATGTACACATTAATTTTCCTGCTCATCACCACGCTGGCAGCAACAGCGGCGGAAGAATCAATTTCCTGCTATCCTTGCGAAACCATCAATCGCGAAGACACGAAAACGTGCCCAAAATCACGCGACGACTGCGGAAAGTGCTTTGAAATGTTTCACGAGAGCAACGGAGACTGCTTAAAAGAGGCAGTAAACAGGGGTAAGGAAATTGTCGTCGAGTTCCCGAGACAACTATCTTTTCAAGCGGCGATTCCTACGGCAATCATCGTGTTGACTTTGGGCTGTTTCGCAATTGGGGCAGTGCTATACAAAAATGTGTACCTTGAACCAAAGAATAGCTACGTTTGATACTGACTTCATAATTTTTACAATAACGCACGGTAAACCTTCCATCGGCGCTGGACGAAAATGGCTTCCAAATTTTTACACGGCGATGCCTTTTTTTGTGTGGAATTTTTTGTGTATTAGTGAGATTCAAAATAAAACGGGAAGTGAAATTTAATTAAGAGTGAGTTTCTGTATTTATAACAAAAATAAGATTCGTGGAGGAATATTTCTGCATTGATCCAAAATTCGTACGGTAGAAATTTCTCCATCGTTTAAAACCCGAACTGGGTTTTGCATTTCTCAAGCACCTGTGGAAACATTTTCGAAATTAAAACTACGTAACTGTGAGTGATGCAGACAGGAATGCCACGAACAGCACGCAATTTCACCAATACAGTATTAGCAAAATTTGTCACGAAGACGTGGGTGAGCATAAAAAAAAATAATAATGACTCCCTCAAATTGAAGTTAGCGCGCGACTTGAAGCTTTTCCAATATTGAGTATGAAACGTACACCATAGTTCCAAAAAAGCAAATCATCACATGTCTCAGAACTCCACTGATGCAGGCCTTGAGAAAATTACCGTGCGAAACATGCATCAATATTCATGCTATACTGCTAATTAATGTAAAATACGGTACTTCATTACATAGTGATCCACTGACCTTTGGCAAATACGGAGCCAACGCTTTTAGCTGACTCGCGCTCGCAAACTTGTAGGCTTCGTTCTCCCATAACGTTTTATGCCTGCCTAATATCTTGGGCATGTGCTTCGCAGCTTCCTCGAACTTCTCAGAGGCTACTAAATGATCCAAGTATTTCTGGCCCACGTCCAGCAGCGTGTGTCTGGTTAACAAAGCGCTTCTGGTTGACCCACCCGACATGGACACGGACAAAGCACGCTTCCCGGAATTCTCCACGGCATTCAGGGCTTCTTCAAATTTGCTGTGAATAAAATAAAGAAAAAGATTCTTTGATACATTTCAGTTTTCCGCTAATGCATTTCCCCGAGTAAAAAAATGTTAAGTTGAGCATTATAACATTTTGAGTCAAGTATTTCGGGTGGGTCAACCAAAAGAATCTTGACTCGAAATGTTCTCAACTTACCATTTTTTATTCGTGGAAATGCAGTAGCGGAAAACTACCACAAAATACGCGAAGATTGACAGGAACGAAGTTTCCCTTTAGTAACTAGACCATAAGTAATTCCTTGAGAATACGCTAGAAACGTTTTTTAAGAAGAAATTTCGCCGCTGAAATTCTAAACCCATCTTGAAGCCTTTCCAACCCCGTTTTCCAGGGTTCATTCCCACTTTCTCGTGGATTACACATATTTTTGGCGCTCCGATTTCTTCCAAATGCTTGCTTACATTTAAATCTGCCATGAAAAATATTGTCAGTACAGTACTTACCATCGATCGAGTAGCCAATCGATATGATCATCAGCATCCCTCGGTTTAGCAACAATCACATCCTTCGGACTAACGATGAAAAACAGGCCCTCGTCGATCAAGCAGTCTGGAAAAATCAACAAAAGATTAAAAATTAATTTTCAAATTCATCTCTAACAATTTTTTTTAGAAATTAACAACTCAAAAACTGATTTGAACATTCGCAATACTGTATTATATAGTATTGTAAGCAGTCTGGAAAAATCAACAAAAGATTAAAAATTAATTTTCAAATTCATCTCTAACAATTTTTTTTAGAAATTAACAACTCAAAAACTGATTTGAACATTCGCAATACTGTATTATATAGTATTGAAGCTCTTCCGAATTTTAAGTCGCAGCAGTCTATAAAGCATCCCAACAAAATAAAAAAAATGCTGCTGATTTTAGGAAGAAACTTAATTTTAGTTTCGCTCACATAAATCATAAGCGAACAGATGATGGTCAACGGGCCAAAAAATTTGGCAAAACTGTTGTAATTTCTAATTAAATACCTCATTTACGTATGTTTTCGTAATGAACTCCAATTATGGCGGTTGATGAATTAATGTACTAACCCATATGATAATCGTTGATTTTATAATCCGCGTAATTTCGAACGCTGAGTAAATCAGTGACGATTTCTGTGTAATCGTGAACACGGGGCTCGATGATGGTCAGCATCAACTTCTGCCCACGGGCTGGGATGCAGGTACTATTCTGGCTCACTTTCCCGGTGGGATCCACGACGACACCTTCTTCTTTGGCCATCGCCATGAGAACCAGATGAGATCCAAGATCCCCACCCCTGCTCAGCCCACCACCAGGATCCACCAACGGAGCGATTCCGCAAATGAAGAAATCCGTCGTGAACATGCTGACTGCGGAAAACATCGATAGTGGACCACGTTACTCGCAAACCGAGAAAAATTGACGGATAATATCCGAGTATGTATTCATAAGGCGTGCGGCTTATTTTCGCGTGAATGCAATAAAGGCTCTGTAAATACTGTAGGCGACGCTTGCATTTAACTCAATTCTGCCAGGTCGACGTTGATCGTTTTTGTTACGCTGATTTCATTCAGCTCAGGCTGAAAGATTGATTCTGATTTCTGAAAGATCAAAGATCCTCGCGACAACTTCATGACATTTCGAAAAGCAAAGTCGGGCATTGAAGCCAAAACCGTAGTACAGTTAGACTCTCTACAACGAAATTCAGAGGGGGAAAAAATGATAATTCGTCGTAGAGACCCCTTAGACAAAAATAAAATCGTCATACAGAAAAATCGTTGTCGAGTAGGGTAATTCGTTTTTCCTCTCATAGTTTTCGCTAAGCGTGGATTCCCTTGAAAGGTAACGAGCACCAACGTTCTACAGATTTCATGAACTGCGATACAGTATTAACAAAATTCACTTCGAGACTCGCGTTTCACAAAACACCACTCGGGTGACAGCTTTCTTTCCATTTCGAAACTCCATTAGGCATAATATTTGATAATATTTAATAAAAATGTGCAAGACAATCAAGAGCTCACCAATTTCGACGAGGTGCTGCGGCGCATCGCGATAAGCCTGCGGTGGTTCCCTATTTCGACGAATAACGCAGATTTTGACAGTATCAGCCCACCCAATCAACAACGTTTTGCCATCTTGCCAACATAAATGACATCGCAGAAGCTCCGGTCTGTATTTTGCGTCATGATCCCGCTTGATCAAGCTTATTGTTTTCCTTTCATTCAAATCCGCAACTCGAACGCCCTACAAAAAATTGCGGATCTTAATTACACAAAACCAGAGGAAAATTCTGTAGAAGTGATCATACTGCATCAGTTGCCCAAGCCACGAAATTTTCCCGATTCCATTTGTACCAAGCTTGTTCGGGTAGGCGCCTTACTTCGTGCGAAACAAAGACGTCCAAGTTCTTCCAAAAGAGCACATTCTAGTTAACCACCAGTGGACTTTTCTTTTCTACGTATGTCCTATTCTGTATCATCAAACAGGATACTATAATATACGCGACATACGTGGTCTCGACCCGCGTTAATTAACATGCTATAAATACTGTACTGTATTGTATTAAAAAACATATTCAGCTGCGAAAATGTGATTTAAATTCGGGTATCATTCAATCCCACGAAGATTCGCGGAACAATCGGAGACCCAAATTTTTTTTCGGATTTCCTCGTGCGTTTGTTACAGGTTATTAACGAAATAGAGTACAGTATTACGTAACGTAGCATATGCATTGCAACATGTGAAGCTGCCGCGGATATTTTGAAACTACGAAATATTATCAATGATACTTTCAGGAATACGCAATCTTAACTTGCTCCTCAGAGAAAGACTTTAGAAATAACTGTTCGCATGGACATTCCTTAAAGGAGGGCCTGGCACTAAACATCATTAAACCTAGTTCGCGTTGACTAAAGTGACCTACTAGTTTCGACAAGTTGTGAGTATTGTCCGCACTGTAGAGCCCGTGAACAACAACCTAAAAAAAAATGTAAATCAGAAATTTTCAATGGAGAAGCATTGAACTTCTGCATGAAACGCTAATGACTGCAATACTCGCAGAAAATTTGAATAAAGAAATTGATCAAGTATGGCTTTGTCGCCAAAAATTGGTAGAGATGAGCTCCTTTTCCTTAGCGAAAACACGCTACTAGTAAAATGCATGAGCTGGTAGTAGTGATGTCCTTCGGTTCATTAGAGGAAGCCTTAGGTTCCTTTACACCAATTGACTGTGCCGTACTCGGACCAGTTCATGTCCTCGAGCTGCATTTCCGAGGTGATCCAACACGTGAATCATGCCCCAGTGGCTTCCAAGAACAAGAAACTGTGAAAGGAATATTTATTTTAAAAGATAAATCACGAAACAAATACGAAGGAATAGCAATTGCACATGACCAATGAAAACTAAGAAAAAAAGGCGAATGCGTAGCAAAGACAAATTTATATTCTGAGGATTGCTTCAAATTAACCAATGATAAATGAACTGCAGCGGCTTTCCTGATCTTCTCGGCGATTCAAGCAAGGGTACATTATTTACACAACTTACACAACGGCAGCGAGACTTTCATTCTTAAAAAAAAAAAAAAACATTATGCTCGATGAAAAACACGCGTAATCACCCTGCTATTGACAGCGATGCATGATGCGGAATCTTTCATGAAGATTTTCCGCAAATCGTTCCCCAAACGCTCATATTTCAGTTTTGGTTCGGAATCGTCATCCTCTTCGTCAACAGATGAAAATGAGTTCTCTTCAGCCCCAGGAAGATCAACAGCATCATCACTCCAGACTTCACTTCCGTCGATATTCCCTGAATTCTCCAGGACAGAAGGCAAAGGATTCTCAATCGGTACTTCCATTCTCTTTTTGAACGCGTCAGTCGTACCACACAGAATTCTGAAGGAAATGAATAGCAACGATGAACACAAACATAGATTCAAATGCTTTTCTAAGATGATCGAAAATACATCCTTGATTTCGTTTCTTCTATTGAGTTTTTATTCCGACACAATTATGGAACTCTGCGGGGATCAAAAGATATTTCTAAAAAAACGAGTTCATGGCTGAACGACTATGAGTTCGTTCCACAATGAAAATTTCTTCAGCAGGCGCGGGTTCTTGAGGAATTAAAATCAAATCCAGACCACTTCCTGTACACAAAAAATTTAGCTTTTTGCATCACAGGAAGTCATAAAAATTCAGTGGTGTAGTTTCTCGCCAGGGCAGAAATTCACACCTGCAAAACTCCACGCGGTTGTGGCAGGCAGGGCATACTCTACCCTGAATCTGGACTCTAGAGTCCAAATTGAGGGTAGAGTACCCACTGCCTGCCACACCTTTGCACCCCCCATTCCTATTCTCATCACTCTCCCCTTTGTGTACACAATTGTGATTGCCACTTGCCAGAGCTTGGTGGTGTAGTTTCTCGCCGGAGCAGAACTCTTGGTCAGCCAAACTCTAGGCCACTGCACCCCCCATCCCTTCACTCCCTATTCTCATCACTCTCTCCTTCACGCACACTAGTGATGGACTTGAGGGTTTGAGTTTATGGTGCGCTGGGTGGTGTCACAGGACTATTGTGACACCAGGTCTAGTAAGGATTTTCACACTGGAATAACAGGTTTCACAGGACAACTTCTTCACAGTAGAAAAGAGTCCACTTTTTAGTAAGCGCCGCCGATAACCATCAACAATGCTATGCAAGATAACGGACCATGGAAAAACACCCGCCAACAAAAACACCAAGAGAACAACAAGCCAAATGACCACGCTTCCGGAGGCCAAGGCCCCCGACCGAGGACACAGGAAGGAGCACCGTTAAACGGCCTAGCGGGGAGAAGTGGACAAAGGCATCGACCCTGTATAAAAGGAAGAACCTCAAATGAACAACACTCACTCAAATACTGAACCTCATGTCCTGACCGCTCACGCTGTGTATACCCTTCTCGTCTGTGTTGTGAACTTGTCTGTCGTCCGTCAAGAGAAATACATCCGTGTACTTTTGTGTACTCCTGACTCGTCCATTTCCCAAAGGATCTTACTGGGGGCTTGTCCAAACCATCCTTTCTGCTGCCGATCAAAACTTCTTCTGCCACCGTTTTTGCCAACCATACCATGCCCCGTGACACCAAGAACTCCAGGGCCGCCAAATGGGCTGCCGCTGAGCTGCTGGTCCTTCAATACCAAGCCAGTTTGCAAGCAGAGCAGCCACCAACCGACAACTCCGGCAACAATTCCATCGTCACCAACTCCAATGCCACCCTTCCAGCGGGGGACATCAACAGGCAGGGACAGACCGTTCCTGTTGCAGCACTGAACCAGTGGGACTTCCTCACGCTCCACACGCTACGGAAGTTTGAGGAGCTATACCTTTCCGAAAGACCCACAACAACAGAACGACAGGCACACATTGACCTCATGCATTGCTTCCAGGTCTCACCCGTGACGCTGATGATGTACCAACTTTTGCAAGCATCGCCCATACCAACCAGCCCAATGAAGGCGGCCACATTTCTGCCACCGCCAACCAGCCGGTGCGTCCATGACCATCAGGCACCGGAACTCCCCAAGCAGCTGAAAGAGGAAGATTTCGAAGACTACGCTCTACGGCTCAGGGAGCTCCTCACCATCAACAACATTGGGGAAAACGAACGCATCCAGTGTTTAATCCACCACACGCACTACGACGTTGCAGAAACGGCACGCCAGGTATACGCGGCGGGCGCCATCACTTTTGACGACATGGTCCGCAAAATCACGCTGCAGCATCCAACTCCGCGCTTTGAGCGCCTCCGACGCTTCCCCCAACTGCAAGTAAATACAAACAAAACATACCGCAGATTTGGCCGTCGTCTACAAGCCAACCTGGAGCTGTTTCTCTCCATACCACATCACAAAATAAATGCAGACCAACTTGCAGTAATACATCCCATGCTGTCGGAGCAACTCATCAAAACCGCACACCCCAAAATTGCAGAGAAACTTGTGAACAAGCTGAACGACAACCCCGATCTCCCATGGGAAGAACTCCTACAGTATGCGGATCGTCAACGCACCCTCCATCTGGCCCAACAGGGGGGGCTACTAGCGCGTAGCAGCAGCGACAGCCGGCCTAAAACCCCACGTACCACCCGGGCACAGCGGACTATTGCAACTGGCATAAGGTTGCGGGCCACAACAATGCAGCATGTCACTCCAGATTTTTCCACACCGAGCACCCCGCTTACCAAAAACGGGACAAACCTGGCATGCCCACAACACCAGCACCCGCGGCAGACAACAAAATGGCAGCATGTGTAACATGCAACCTGACCGGCCACACAGCCAAAGACTGCGGACAGAAGGCGGGAAACGCCAAACGAGCGCAGTAGAAGTGGTCCTCTACGCTCTGCAGACCAAGACCACTACCACCGCTCCCATCCTTGTGGCAGTCCATATCCAGTGCCAAACCTGCGATGCCATGATTGACACCGGCACCTCCCACTCATTTATCGACGAGGC